TTAGTCTTTTAGATTCCTACATAGTTTTATAATAAATATTATATATAAATTAAAACGCGAATAATTACACAAATAAGGAACTTACAGATAGAAATAACTTCCAAATTTCTTCATCTAAAAGCAAGCCACTATAGATCTTCTGAACAAACTGTGTTCAACACCTCTCAAGAACGACACCATAACTGGTAGCTTTACTTTGAACAAGCGATATGATAAAGTTACCAAATAATCTACTAAAAGGCAAAAACTATCTATATGCATGAGTAACTATATCTATAAAAAAGGCCATTCTATCTCAGTAAAGCATAGCGATTGAACGTCGTTCTGCCAAGTACAGTGGCACAATCCGGTGTATTTTTAGTAACAAGCAAGGCAGAATTTTTACAGATATTTCAAGATGTCGAAAGCATATGCGGGTTTTAGTTTAATGATGCATACATAGTAAAGCACAAAGGATTCAAGAAAAAGATGCTTTTTTTCTTCAGTACGATATATAAAGTCTTTTGAATTGAATTGAAATATCAGAAAACTTAGCTTCTTCTGAAAAATTGTCTAAGGAGAGTATCCCTAGAGCTCTATCCAGTATGGTAAGAAACCTATGTTTCACTGAATCAAAGAATGTTAAGAAAATTTGTAATATTACTCTTTATATAATTCAAAATACGATGGAAAGTTTCAGCCATAGTTTACTATGTATATAGGAAATTACTTTTAGTGAATCAAAATTTTGTGGAAATATTTTACGGGAAACTTAATGTATTGAAGTTTACTAGCCATCTGTGATATCGCAAAATATGCGATACATAATGATGTATGTTAATTCGCTATTTACCGAACATTTTGCAATTAATTATATTTCTTTCAACAATTTAATTATGTTTATATTAAAGGAAAACAGTTATTATTATCTTGAATAATATGCATTAAATGTATGTCATTTAACTCATGACTTGTTTAAAGATACTGTTTTAATGACATTATTGAATAAAATGTTTTTGATTTGATTCCATTCAGCGCTTCGCAATTAAGTGTCTGTTCAAGCAACCACACAAATTGATTCTGTTAATTATACACGATACGGAAAGTTTTATAAAAATTTATATTGGTACACATTCTTTGATATGTGAGTGATGAATTTCAGAAATACTATGCTTTAACAACCATTAAACTTCGTACATAAAATCTACATTATAATTATGCGTAACAATTAAATTACAACTCATATTTTATATTGAGATCGATAACACTGCCTGCATTGTTTAAAATTGCATTTTGGATTTTCTCAAGTTTTAAAGCATTCCAGTTTCCAAACTGTTCATTAATTACAAAAATCTGTTAGTTCAATTGATTCAAATTATTTCATTTCTTTGAAAGAGTGTGTAAAATGTTTCTTTGAAATGTTTCTGAAAAGAATGTTTCTTTGAAAGAGTATTTAATTATGGCAAAGCACACTAGGGCTATCTGCCTAAGAGGAGGGATGCCTTTCGTGGAGGACTTTCTAAGAGAAACTGGCTCGTATACACGTTACACATGGGGAAAACCACGAAAGCACCCATGCAGCCAGCCCGTTCGCGGGATTCGAACCTCGGACCGAACTACCAGCGTTCAGCGACTTTACCGCTCGGCCGCTGGTGGGCTTCTTTGAAAAGAGAGGCCCACCAGTGGCCGAGCGGTAAAGTCTCTGAAGAGTGGTAGTTAGGTTCGAATCTCGCGAACGGGCCGGCTGCGTGGTCATTTTTGTGGTTTTCCCAATGTGTAACGTGTATACGAGCCAGTTTCCTTTAGAAAGTCCTCCCCGAAGGCATCTCTTCCCTTAGGCAGCTAACCTTCGAGGCTTTGCCGCAATTACATAAACCAAACCATTTCTTGAAAAATTCAATTCAGTTTCCTGAAAGAAACCAGGAAGATTATTATACGATGAAAATTAATTAATTAATGCAAGTAAAATCGTCTATATTATGCTCTTCAGATGGAGTTCCTTAAACCTTTGGCAAGTACTTATAATAAAATGTGCGTTATTTTTAATGTATAACTACAAACTAAACTTCCGTTTCAATTACATTCTGAAAATCAAATGTGAAGTGAATAAGATCTACTTCCCTTAAAAAGTTCTTCACAAAGGCATCTTCTATAGGCAGGTAGCTCTCTAGCTAATTCCCCTAAATTAATTTACCTAAACTAACTTGATACAAGTTGAAAGATTTTTATTGACAAATTATTCTCGAGAACAGAATATAAAATCACTACATAACATTTGAATATTTTACTTCAAAATTTTATTATATTCAACCACTAGACAATTTCCAGTATTTTATTTTTAAAATGTCATTAATGATTTTATACATTTTTCTTTGCAGGAGTGCAAAGAATTTAAGAGCCATTTTAGTCAGTAATGTTTCTTCACTATTACAATTGACTAACTGAAGAGGTTTACCATTCACTTAGAATATGAGCATTGTCGTCTCATAACACCAGATGAACCCAAATTTCGAAAAATATTTCATTCGGAACTTACAAAACCATCTCGTTCCTTAATTTAATTTCTTATGTTCTAGCTCGTTTACTACTCTGTAATTAAATTTAAAAATGTTTTATCGGAAATAATTGGTTTCAATTTGAGCATCAATATTCACATAAATTTCCGCATATTCACACTCTTACATTTTAAGTTAATAAAATGAATCACCTTTCAAACGGAGCTAAAAATAGAAAATAGATATATTTTAAAAGAACAGTGTTTTCTGTTGAATAATATGTCTCTACTTTGAAATCAGAGAACGGCAAGTTTTGATAAGTATAATTTTTTTATCAATATAAGCATAGAATATTTAAATAATATAATTTAATTCTAGAATGTATTCCAGACATCCATCAAATGCTATCATATGAAAGTTCGAAAAATGAAACCATTTCTTTCAATATTCACACACATATATCAATTACCTACCTTTTCCTCACTGCGATGCTTTTGCATACAGATGAAAAAGCTTGAAAATTAGCATATTTTGTAAATAAATCAAAAGCTTCAACGTTTTCTTCCTGAATTATATTAAAATAGGATTTGTATATTTATTCTGATAAGCGTGGTTTAGTTTAGGCATTTTTTTATCATAAAACTCAGACCAGAATTTAGTGAGCAACAAGAAACCTCAGATTTACTGAGATATTTTTAGAATAAGAACAAAATGGCTTGCCAGAATAGTGAAAGGAAATAATGCATTTATGATTCGTTTGTACTGGTAGCATAGTCACATTCACTAGTTTACATACACAGCGTACGGTTTGGTCTTTTATCAGTAGTTTAATTTATAATTCGATTTTAAAAGACCCAACAGCGCTAAATTAGTGAGGACGCAACGTTCAATTTTTATATTAATTGAGTCATTAGGTTACATCGATGCAAGAACGCAAAAAAATGCGCAATGCCTCGCCGGGATTCGAACTCCAGACCTCTCGAATACGCGTCGAGCGTGCTTCCAATTACACCGCGAAGGCATGCGGAAAGGAGGGAGGAAACATCTTATCTATTTCATTTATAATTTTATTAATTTAATGGAATTTAGCACTCAAATGTATTTGACTAAAAAGGCATATTAAAGATTGGATCTAATGTTTTCGAAAGAAATATTTAATGAAACACGAATAAAAGTTAAGAAGAAATTACTTAATTTTGTGTTTATTTTAAGTTAAGCATTAAGTGTTTTATCATTCTTATATACGTACGCATGTAAAGCAGAATTTATATAAATTTTCAAGCATGAATGTAAAAATATGCTAAATTTTAGTGATTGCCAATCTTATAAAATAATCCATGTTCACTAAAAGGCAAGTTATCTTCCTGTTCCGCAGAAAATAGGAATTTGAAAAGCATAGCCAAACGTAATTTTTAACTCATTTATCTAGTAAAGCGAAATACAGAAAATGAACGAAATCCATTACAGTTTTAATGCTTCACATACACTGGCTTCTAAAAGTTAAGTACTCAGTACTAATTAGCAACTTTCGAAAGCGCAGTTGAATCCAGCCGCTGTAAATTGCTGTGGATACAGATAGGACTATGTCAGCATTCGGGAAGGATTGAGGAGGTTCATTTAAATGCTGATTCGATGTTTTTTTAATTTTTGTAGGATAAGTTTTTGATTATATTCGTGTTTCTTTGGTTGAAAGGAAACTAATGACATATAACGTCCGCTGGTGTGATACCTATCACATATTTTAAATGAGGACAGTCAACAAAATGTGTTGCTCTTTTCTTTGGTGTTGATAATCCAGTAAACTGATGTGGATGAATCAGTTGATGACTGATTACCTAATTGGAAGCACGGAAACTGCTACAAAGTTTGCGTGGTTGTCCAGAATGGCCATGTGCCGCATTAATTTTTGTTTATTTTTAGGTTTAAACCTAAGTTTGTTATTGGTACAAATGTGAACTCATCATATAATTTACGAAAATTAAATATTGTTTCCTTGTTTGTACATAATTGCTCATTTTCATTCATACATAGACACTGCCTTCCTGTGCAATTTGGTATTAATTAAGCTTTGCATTTTCATTTTTGTTAATTTTATCGTTGCGTGTTGAAGCCATTAACGCGTTGTTAATGAGCATTTAACTCTTTAAATGTAATTGCATGAACAAACTAATGAGAAATAAAGGCAAGTGCTTACTTATTCACTAAAGGATGTTTACATTGCTGCTGCTAGAGATACTTAAAATTTTAAAAAGCAGGATACTCAGGTATAAATTTCGTCTTATGAAATTATAGTTTTAAATAATATAAAATTATATTACACTTTAATGTGCCACATTACACACGTTATAGATTAATTGATCATTCTAAAATTAGATTATATATGGTGGGAACATTGTTCATCATCAATGAAGCAACAGTTTACTTAGGATACACTTACAATATATATGCAGCTAAACACAATATATATGCAACTAAATTATTACATTAAGCAAGGTAATGCATTGAGCATAATTATTTTCTCCACAGAAAGGACCAATGATCTGTTTTGTTGTCATCTGCACTGCCCTTCTTCTCGGAAGTGTGACATGTGAACCTATGAATGAAGCTGAAGCTCGCCACCATCACCACCACCATGGACATCATCATCATGGACACCATCACCATGGTCACCATCATCATCACGGGCATCACCATCATGGGCATCACCATCATCATGGGCATCATCACTGATAATTCAAGCAAAAAATATTATTATAAATTCTAAAAAGAATGAAGCCTTTTATTAAAGAGCTTTGATGAAATAAACACCATTAAAATGCATGATTTATTTTTTTAATGAGAAATACATTTCTAAAAAGTTGATATACTTAATGCTTTTCTTACAAAATATACGAAAATGACGCTAGTATTATCAAAACCTTTTCGTATTAATTTCAAAACTTTTTCGTATTAGCACTTTTTTATGGAAAATCAAAGATTATCTTACAAAACAGTTTTATGTAAAATGAGCTGTTAAAAAAGAAGCATGAAAATATATATGACATTTTATTAGCGCATTAAAAGTAGAAACTGCACTTTTAATTCATGGAGATTGCGGGTACTCTTTCTGAGTAACAGATTATAATGTTACTTGGAAATATAAAAATAAGGCAAAATTATAACAATGCACAAATAAATTATATAAAGTTTGTTTTTGACAACAGAAAATTTGTTTTACTTATCCAGCTTGTGCCATAAAAGTATTAAGCATAAACATTTTAAATATTAGTTAATAGTATAATAAAAATATTAAATTGCAGTCAATAGCTACATCTACTCGCTATTCAAAACTATTATTTCTCAGTTACAGTTACTTACCCCTTCCGTAACTCGATAATTACACAGATTTGCAAATGAAAAAAAAACTTAATTATTTTGAAACTTAAAAACACATTTATGCAACTAAACAGAGCAAATAACAGTACAATAGCTTGCGGGCTAATCAAAGCTTATGAATCTAAATTTATAGACGTGTTAAATACATGTACTATAATCGATATTAAGTGTAAAACATAAACAAAGGAATATTTCTAGATCCCTCCTAATTATTATATTAATTAAATTCTCCTCGCATGAACTTTAGTAAATAAAATTGATTAACTTAAGACTAATCGAAACCCCTCCAGATATTTTTCAAAATTTTATCAATAACTGAAGCTATTATTTCCATGAAAGCAAATATTTCATAAGTCGGCTAGAAATAGCATTCGTCAAAAATAGTCTAACTAAATCATAATTGGCACTTATTCCAGTTTCTTCTCCTAAACTTCTTTGTTCAATATCTCTGATCTTGGAATTATTGTATGCTTGTTAATATAATAGGAAAGATGTCTGTATATTAACAAATAAAATAAACATGAAAACTCTTATAACACTATAGTTATGCATCTATATGTAAATGCGTATTATATACTATAAATATGATATATGTTAAAATATTTCCAAAAGTATGTTTTTAATTAGATATTTCATTTTTTAAGAAAAGCGTTTTGTTAAAGATATTTCCTTTTTGCATCCCGCTAATCCATACATAGGAAATGAATGCATATATATAGGAAATGGATGGAATACATAGGAAATGGATGGAATGTTTCTGATTAAGAAATCTGCTAGTAGTGATAGAATCAGAATCTGGTAGCAATGTAAAACTGATACAAAGATAGATGATTTTTCAGTGTTATTTTTACGAATTTTATTATATAAGTGTGAAGATTATTCGCGAATAAGCACGAATTCACAGTGCGTTTTCATTATTTTTACAATGATGTCTATGTGTGAAGGTTCTTTTCTCCGCGATAACTCTTATATAACAATTCCAGAATTTAAGCTTTTTGCATTTATATAAAAATTGATTAGAATTTGCTTAAAATTGAACAACCGGAAATAGCACTTTACTGGAAGCTCATGACAGTTTTGCAATTATCAACATAACATATTGTTGCGTTGAATGAGCATTGTTGACTGATACCTTGACTTGAGATATAGAAGCATATCAAAGGGGGTTTAAATTTGTTTGAAGCTATAGAAATAACATAAAAGAAAATTAAATTATAGTATTCTATTCAAATATATTATAAACACTTAATTTTATTTAATTAAAAACAACTTAAATTATATATTATTGAATTACCCAATAAGATGCAACTTTAGTAAAAAATTTAAAGGGGCAAAATTTGATTATTTTAGCTTGAATTTAGAAAAACTGGTTTTACACATGAACAATTATACATGATAGAATATAATCTAAAATTTTGTATTACGGACCTTTCTGCTTATTAGAACAATAAATCAGGTTATGTTTACAAATGATCAACGGAAGTGATTTCTTACCGAAAGCCCGTTGTTACTTAAAACATGGAATCGGCGGAAGGTTATGTGTTGTCCACATCCGATTAAAAAAAAAAAAAATATTTTCTAACAGATGGTGGAATTTTCAACCGATATGAGGTATAACATGCTTATCTTATATAAGTATAGTTTTCTAAATAGTTATACCTATTTATGAAATTTTAAATTTAGGCAACTATTTTGATTAAATGCAGTTAGTTGGCAATGCCTTATTTTACAATTTGCCTAAGGAATGATTTCAATAATTAGATTGGATAATTAAAAAAATTATTAAAGTTCGCAAAAATTTAGATCATTTTCGTCTTTTAAATACTAGGCATATATTCTAAAATATGCTTAGTCTTGGGCTATGAAACCACTTCACATATAATGCGCAAAATGCATTCGATAATAATAATTTTTTTAAAACAGTATAAAGTAAATTGACTGTTATTTAAGGCTCAAATGTTGCTTAGTTGAATATCAAAAGGACATTTACAATTAAATAATCACGGTTATTATTTCTTTATAATTCCAATCTTACAAATTGAAGAAATTATATCTCAATAAATTGCACAAAAAGCTACTACTTTCTATCTACCATTTTGGAAAATTAGAAAAGAATTATACAATTAGAATTCCAGCAGTTTGAAAAGACTAAACTTCCACGATCTCGTGGCAAATTGGTAATAATCTATTTTGCACGTGGAAATTTGCTTTGCCTGCAAATGCGAATGTGTTTCATTTAAATCATAAAACATGGAAAATAATTTTAAATTTGCATAACACTGAAAGCTAACAATGACTTTATGTCAGAGAGGAAAGGAAAAAACTTCGAAAATTTGAAGGCTACAAAACTCGGGTACAAATTGTGTTTTCCGAAGACAATTTTAATCCTCTTTCCCGGAATGCAAGGGTTTTGTGTGTTTTATATGCTTTTTATTGCAAATATATATAATATTTGAAATAAAAAGCATATAAAACACACAGAAGAGGAAAGTTCAAAAATAGCTAATGCTTAAAAGTACATTTGATACTACAGTTCCAGAGTAAAAACGTTACACCAAGTATAAACAATAATATAAACAATACTAAAGCAGTAAAAGTTATCGCGTAAAAACCTACAGTAATAACTATTGCAGCCCAATGCGCAAAATACTTGACCAAATAGCTCTCTCTTTTTCGTTTACTACTTTCTACTTATATATATGTCATGATAAAAGCAAAGGAAAAACGGAACACTGTCGATGCGTGCTTAGATCCATATTGAAGAAGAATTTTGATTGCGTAGTATTTAAAGAACTTGGCAGTCGAGGCAGTTTTAATTCCATTTTTATTTCCAATTGATATTTGTGGCCACAATCACTTGGCACTCTCTAGTCGTGCCTTTCCACAGAAGATTTACATTTTTGATATTGTTGGGATAGAAAGCAAGGCAGCGAAATTACATCTTAGCACAGTAGAGAGCAAAAGCTGAAGTGCGTAGTTATGAAAGATGGAAGCACGCAAAGAGAAAAGTTTTGGTTTACAATTCGGTGATTGGTCGTCAAGAGGCATCTGGTATTAACGGTTACATAAGATCGCATGATTAATTTGAATGACGCAATGCAGATAAGTTATTACGATTTTAGAATAGAGAGGAAGAATTAATGTTTATAGTTATAATTCTGATTCATACATTTTTATCTTACACATATATATATATATATATATAAATTTTGAAGATACAGAAACATGCTGATAAAATTCCTGGAAATGCAAGAGAATTAAAAAAATGAAACGACTAGCACAATATAATGAACAGTATATGTATATAAACAAAAGTAACAATATCGTCCTATGTACTTAACGTGTATTTAATAAAGTGCTCATTTGCATAAGAATTTGATTTTCAGTTCGAGGCAGTCACTTTGTAGTCTGTGGAATAATAACACTGTCCGGACAAGTTGCACTTATTTGCTTTCAACCATATTAGAACACGTTTCGCTGAATTCATCATTATCAAACTGTCTACAGTGCGTTTATTAAATGCTATTGAATTGTCTTGAGTTCATATTGCTTGAAATTATAAAATGCAGATAAGAAATGCTCTGAACATGTAAATTAGGCTTCATAGTTATTCTTTTATTGGTATTCTATGAGTTCTGCTCTGAGCAATATCGAGCAATGCTCTGGTAATCTTATCTAGTACTTTCCTGTTATGAATTGCATTCGATGTCTATATCGACTAAGCACAACGTGCTGGATTTTTTAAGTGTCAGGGTTTTCTTTTAGCACCGTTAAAGAAGTATTCGACAGGATTCTCTTCTCTACACATTCATGTATTTTCGTAATTCTGTGACCAGGAAGAAATTGGGTTGCACTGGTTTTTGGGACTTCATTTCAAAATCTACTTTTGGAAACATATTATGTGTTCTGCATGAGCTGTAGACTGACGTTTCTGCCACAATTCGACCGATTTATGATACATAAGATACTTTTATGCGTGATACTGGGAGTTGCATGGGTTGTATAATTTACGATACATCATTTGCTGCCCGTTGCTAATGAATCTGTCACATCATTGCCGAATGTGGTATTGTGTATTCAGGTGAAACGTTTGAATCTGGTGTACTAATGAGCTGGGACTGAGCTACTCTGCAGTAGGTACTAATCTGGATGCCGAATCGCTGAACGTAACAAAGTACATATGTGAGAAATGTCTAGCATATTTTAATGCTTCCCTAATTGCTATTAGCTCTACTATCTACGGAGTTTTCTGAATTCAGTTTTTTTCCATGTATGAGAGATTTGTTGTTTGTGTAGACATCAGAAACTATTGCCTGCCTTTGAACCGTCTGTATAAACTTCGATTTCGCTTTTCTGATGTCTCCTGATAGTTATTTTAATGTTATTAATTAAGGTAGTTGGATGATAGCATTGCTTAGATATAACTGATTTCTACCAATTCAATT